ACACACACACACACACACACACACACACACACACACACACACACACACACACTGTTGTGGCCTCAGTGGTGTAGTCGGCTCAGCCTTCTTTCTCTCACTCGTGCATGATTCTGTACCGCACACAGTATGGCCGTTGTGGGTGGTTTACGGGTGCTCTTTTGTGGTTTGCTTCTTCTTTCCTGTCGTCCTTATCTCCCCTCCTTCTTTTTTGTGTTTGTTACTCTCTTGTAACACCTCTAATCTTCAGCACCTATATGACCTTATTGTGTTGCAAGTGCCGTAAAACACTTACTAAAACAAAAAGCACGGTCGTTGTTGGCGCCGATTTGTTGTAAGAATCGTCTGTAAGAGTTCCACCAGCATCTATGTTGGAGCGGCGCGGGAACCCCAGTACATCGCCACAGCACGCACGAGACCTAAGTTCGATTCGGTGTCTACTCGGGCCTCTATCGCACACTTGTAGTATCTCGGTATTTTTCTGCCGGGACGATGTATAACTCTGAGCCCAAGTTGGCCCTGACATGGAGGGTCGGAATCCATCTCTAAAATGACATAAACTGTTTCGACATTGTTTTATATCAGTGGAACCCCCCGCCGCCCCTTCCGTTTACACACATATTTTCTTTGTCCCTGAATCAGTTTCTTTACCTTTATTTTCAAGTCGTCATTTCGCACGACTTGTTAAATTAACTCTTTAAGGCCGTAACGGATACATAGATCTATAGGCGACCAAAGGCAAAGTTTCCAAAACATCTCGAGCCATCATACACAAATCAGAAATACCAATTTTTGTATTGTTGTTGCCTGTATTTTAAAATTCCAGATAAAGACAACGGAATGGGAAAGTATGTGTGAATAACGAAGTTTTCAAGCACTTTTCAATGAGCTAAACAATGAGTTAACGTCATCACTTTGTGTCTTCCCCAGCTGGCAGCCGGTCACATGACCCACGAGCAGCTACAGCATCACGTGACCGAGCAGCAACATGCCATGACCCGGATGCAGTCGCACGCGCATGCGCAACAGGTCAAGGCCAACCTGCTGACCACTTCCCTCCGCGCCAAGCTGCGACGGAAGGAGCAAGAGCTGCGCGTGGCGCGTGCGCAGAACGAGCAGTCCGTGTCGCACGTGGTCTCGCGTCTGCTGCACCTGGAGTCTCGTCTGCAGTGTGAGCGGGCGGAAGTGCTGGAGGCGCTGCAGGAGAAGGATGACGTGATCAGGCGTCAGCGCGCCGCCCTGGAGGACCTGGGCGAGAAGAACCATCGTCTGCTGCAGGCGCTCCAGGAGACGCACGGCTACGGGCCGGACAACAACAACAGGAACGGGCTGGTCAAGTCCTCGGAGCCCGCCACGGCGCAGGACGGTCAGTACTCCATCCAGGACCACGGCAACAAGGTCATCCTGCGCGGCAGCAAAGGTCGCGACAAGTCGGGTACGCCCTCTAGTGGCCACAAGGTCCGCTTCAGCAACATGAAGGAGAAGTTACGTCGTCACAAGAGCAGTCTGGAGCTGTACCAGTCAGAGCCGCTGGAGACGTTGTTTGAGGGCAGTCTCCGCTACTACGGGAGCCAGGACAACCTGATAGACGGACGCAGCCCCGGCTCACGTGATCCCAGGCAGGTGACGTCACCGTCCACCTCGTCGTCACGGCAGGCACGGTGCAGGAGTCTGGTGGAGTACCCGAGTCAGCTGAGGGAGGAGGAGGAGGAAGAGGAGGAGAGCCAGCACAGCCCGGACTCGTGCTTTGAGGAGGCTACGACCTCTGACCTGTCTCGCAGCGGCTCGATCAACTCGTCCACCTCCTCCCTCTACAACCCACGGGACTCGTTTGTCCTCACCCCGTCCTCCCTCACTTCCTCCTCCACGTCCTCCTCCTCTTATTCTTCCTCCTCTTCCTCCTCCTCCGCCTACCCCGTGTCCTCCCGCGCCCTGGGCTTCTCGGAGCTGGCCAAGTCTCGCTCGGTCCCTCAAGCCCTCCCGACCGTCATCGAGAACGACTCGGGCGGTGTGGGCGGCATCTCCTCGGGCCTCAAAGAACGACCTCACTCGCTGCCCAGCGTGGACCTCCTGGCCCCCGACAGCCCCAAGGTCAAGGTGAGCATGTCGCCCAGCGTGACCCCGGCGGCCGCCGCCCCTGTGGTGACCCCTGTGCCGGTCAGCTCCTCCCCGCCAGAGTCCAACCCTTTCAAAAGCATCAAGAACGTGTTCAAGCGGCGGGGCAGCAAGAAGAAGCGCTCCGTGTCGCTGGGACAGAGCACCAACCAGGAGTACCACGACGCCGTCAAGCAGCACTTTAAGAAGTATGACCTCACCTAGGTCACTCACCCCCGACTGACCACCATCTGTTCCCGCTGACCTCTTACCTGGTGTTTTTTGGGTTTTATGGGAGGGGGAGTATTGAAAGTTTGGGTTATTTTTAACTTTTTTGACGTGGGGTTAGGGGCAGAAAGGGAGTGGGGTGGAGGGGTTCGCATGATCTATGTAAATATGAACCATAGATCCCCCCCTTCCCCCTCCCCCACTGATCTATCAGTTCCAGAACTGCTCACCGCCACATGACCCACAACCTTGGAATGATGACTGCCACAGACCACCACGTCATGACGGCCATGGTCAACAAACAATACGGCATTGTTCTATTCTTAGCTGTGGGGAATTCCTCTTGCGACATAACCTGTGGACAAAATACTGTTATCTATAACTTCAAAACGTGAAACCAGCTAGCGAAGTTCTTTTAATTTTTGCATTGTTTTGTTTTTGCTTTTTTCTGTTGTTTTTTTTCTATATAAGAATCTTCAGAAGGTATAGATCTTATACGTATTGCATTCATTGTTGCTGTTGTTGTTGTTGTGTTGTTGTTATTGTTGTTGTGTTGTTGTTGTCGATGTGTGTGTGTGTGTGTGTGTGTGTGTGTGTGTGTGTGTGTGTGTGGAAAGTTGTGTAAAACCACCACAAGATCTGATTGGAACAAGTGTTCTGAGCCTTGTCTTCTTGCAGACTTAGAGGCAAGCTATTGTACATAATGATATGATTGGATACAATAAAATAATATGCAAATCGATGGTGACATGCTCTAGCACTGAAACTGGAAGAAATAGGTAAACTTTTTTGTCTTAAAGATAATTGCTGAGGTCAATCTGTGGGCCAAAAAGGAGAAAAATCATGAGTCAGCATGTATAAAAATAATATTATTGTTATTTTGTAACTTTTAAATATTCTCTCGTCGCGAAAGTCTGGAAGGATTTTCGTCAGTTGGAAAATTTTCAAGAAACCACTTTCACGGTTAGAGCAATAACATCATTGAAATCTATATATAAATATACAAATGTGCAAAACAGAAGTAGGCTAGTTTTGTAGACAGAAAACAAACCTGTTTATTTGTAGAGAGGGAGGGGTGGGATGGTAGGTTGCACAGTATAGATTTATGTATACATCTCTATATGTGCTGGCCCATGAAAACCAAAGACTAGTAAAAAAAAAAAAAAAAAAAATAAAAAAAAAACTTTCTGAGGTAAGATGGAATATTTTCTGAACCTGAACAATCCAACAAAGGAATATGATTCCTTGAGGGAAGACAGTGTTTCGGTTTCTAAACTCTTTTCATTACGAATGAAACAATAAATAATAATGATTCAAATCAACAGATTCACAGACTTCCTTTTGTGAAAACTGTTTAAGTTTATGAAGGAAAAGGTATTAAACGTTTATTACTTGTTTTTGGTTCTGATTTTCTGTTCATGCTTCCGTAGTTTGACTATGATCAGTACGATTTGTGTTTGGTTGTCACAGGCCATCACACATAACTGTACCTGCATGTAGTAGATAGAGACATGGCGGTGCCTGCTTTGTCTACTTCATCTGACTTATTTTGTGCTTTTTGGGCTTTTGTTTTGCTTTGCTTTGTGTTGTTGAAGTTTCACTGACACATAACTCTGGCTTGTGGGACTTGGTGTGTGTATGTGTGTGTATGTATATTTGTGTGCATATGAAATTGAAGGAGAAAGG